TGTCCATTGAGGAACTGAGTTCCTGGCACTACCCCCCCCTCCCCCAGGTTGTCCTGTGCTTCCTTAAATCTGCCAGTTACCTCCATTGAGGCTGACATCTGCAGGGGTCATGCTGTGTCCCACTAGCAAAGAAGGAGCTGTTCCCTCCGTTGCAAGGAGGGCTACTATGCCAGAGTGAGATTGGCAGACACCTTGTAGAGGCACCTCTGATGCTCTCACTAGCATTGGTGTCTCCAGTGCCTCTTCTGGGCCTTGGGGTTGGTTGTTCAGTAGGCGGCTGGGGTCTCTCTCCAGTGGCATGTTGGGTGTCTCACAGATTAATAAGGGACGAGTCAGAATCTAAGCAATGGCCCGTTCCCAGGGGTTCCCCAAATTGTGGCAAGATCTCTGTCCAGGGATCTTTTACATAGGTGTAATTGTAGACCTCCTCAGCAAGAAGGACTGGCTCCAGCTCTTCTATTGCATGGCCCTAGTTTCTTCTGCTGCTGCTGCTGACTCCATTGTTCCTGCCCCAGGCACCTGCTGGTTACAAAGACCCACCGCCTCCTCACCCAGGTGTCTTTCATCATCACTCTCCCCTTCCTCCTTACCATGGGCTGGCTGGCCAGCCAGCCTCAGCACCCACCTGCAGCCCAACAGGTATCCCTCCCAGTGGGCCTTCCAGGGCGCAGGGTTAGAACAGAGGGCCTGCCAGAGGTGCCAGAGTTTTTTTCCTCCCTTTTACATAGGTGTAATTGTACACCTCCTCAGCAAGAAGGACTGGCTCCAGCTCTTTTATTGCAGAGGTGCCAGAGTTTTTTTTTTCCTTTTTCTCAGAATGTTTTGAAAACAGTTTTTGCAGCAATATGCACTTATGTTGCCATGTTTAAATTTAAACAGATAAGGCGCTGAAGACTGTAGAAACACTAGTTTTTGTATACCCTGCGCTTTCCGATGGTTGTTCACTTACCTATTTCCAATGTGTTAAACTCTTGTTGGGCCACCTGTAGCTTGTCTGTTGAATCACCTTGTGCTACTGACTCTTGAGGTGGCTTCCTAAAACTCGAGAAAGCATTCCTTACAACTTTGACATGTCCAAGCCTGTATAACAGTGTTTTGGTGTCCATACATTTATGAAAAGGTTCTAATGAAATATTCACCTAACTCCTTTTGAGAGATGACATCTTTTCCAGTCCATCAGTATAATTCACAGCTACAGATTGCCACTAATTAACAAGTCCTTGCTGGGATTCCTAGTTGTGCACGTAACCACCCAATGAATGCACAACGAAGAATCCAAGTGGAGACCTGTTAATTAGGAAACGTTTCCCAGACTTAACTTAGCCCTTTCCTTTCCATTGCTGTAACAGCATGACATTTTTATCACTGGCAATGATTAATTTTTTAGAAAAGGGACATTTTCTACAAAAAAAATAGCATCATTCCTTTCCATTGCTGTAACAGCATGACATTTTTATCACTGGCAATGATTAATTTTTTTAGAAACGGGAAATCTTCTGCAGAAAAATAGCTTCATAGAACAATGGAGTTGGAAGGGGCCTCGAAGGCCATCAAACCCAACCTCCTGATCAAGGCAGGAATCAAAGTGTATCTGACAGATGGTTGCCTTGATTGTTCTCTTTAGCACGCTCTCACCACAGGTAATTAGCCTTCTGGTGAGCAGTGTCGTTGGAATTTGGTTCTTAATTTGTATGGTATTTAGAACAGTTTTATATCATTTGTATATAATAGTTATGAAATTATCTCCCTAATGTAAGAGGCAATTATTTATAACTTGCTTGTGTCATAGCCTAATCAGTTGCAACTCACTCACTGCTTAATTAGTGCCCTAGTGGCGCTTCCAGAGTTTACTGTCATATGGTAGAAAGTAATTTTCACTGATCTAACTGCATTAATTCCTGTGTGGGGAGGTGAATACCTGGAGATCATTTTAGAAATAAAATGTTCTTGTAGTGTCGTGGGTAGAGTAACGGCCTGGGATGCAGGAGGCTTCGGTCCAAATCCCCACTCATCCATGGAAGCTCAGTGGGGCTGTGGAACTGGTAAAAGCACTTCCTAAATATCTCCCTTCTTAAGTAACCCTTTTAGGGTCACTCTAAGTCGGTTCTGAATTGATGGCATGTGACAAGAAAACTCTATAGCAGCTTCTCTTCTGGTCTGCACATCAGCAGGGCTGTAAGCAGTACAGTGCAGGATGCGTAGAATTTGGTGCTGTAATTGGGTTAGGGCATGCCATCTTTGCAATACAGTATGCCCAGTCGTCTTCTGATGTTAATTTCAATGGAATTGCATGTACTGGCACTTTTAGGCTGGCTTTTCAACCTGAACCGGGGACATGGAGTTTGCCATTCCATTTCCCCAGTTCCACATAACCACTCACCAAATAAGCTTCATGCTGGTGCTTAGCAGTATTTAAAGATAAATTTGGTGGTGGTGATGGTAGGCCCTTCTTAGTAACAGTGGTCTCCATGCAGCTACTGTTTTCCATTCCTGTGTACATTAGAAGAATAATGTATACCTAGATTTTGCAGGTGGGCATCTCATATTCACATCAGTTAGTTAATATGCTGATGGCATAGGCACACTTGGACAGCACCATGTACGTTGTCGTGAACATTTTAGTGGAAGGATGAGGTACCAGTGTCATAATTAAACCTTGGTTGAATTGACAGGAAAAGTGTAGATCTTCCACAGATGTGTCTTCCAAATTATCAAGAGCAGAATGAAAGTTACTGAAGCACATGCACATGGAAGGTGATCATTTTAGTAGCATACTCATTTATTTATTGGTTTGTTTGTTTGTTTGTTTATTTATTTATTTATTTAATACCCCGCCTATCTGGTCATTGCGACCACTCTAAGCGGCTTCCAAACAAATAAAAATAACATATAAATAAATGTGAAGTAAAATAAACCATGAAGGCTGCACAGGCAAAAAATTAATATTCCAAGAAGGCATACATTTCCTCACCTTTCTTCTTATTATTATTACTGTATTTTTCCATGTATAAGACTATACTTTTGCCTAAAATCTTAAAAAGCGAGGGTCGTCTTATACATGGAATTAAGCTGAGAAGAGAACAAAAACAAGTGGAGGGGAAATCAGGGATCAAAGTGATCATAGGTTGCTAAATGTTGTGCATGCTTTCAGTTCCTTTGGAAATCTTCCTGAGACTGATAAATGAAGAAGGGGAAGGGGAAGATTGCAAGGGTTAATTTCAGGGAGACTGCACTCATTTTGAATCTTAAAGTGGGAAGGGGCTTCAGATAATCAAATCAGGCTCAGACTTTAGTGAGAGAGTTTCCATTGATATCCAATACACTCTCAAGAAGGTCTCAGTAGAACAGGCAAACAGCGTTCATCCGTTTTTGGAAATATAAAATTCAGCTCAAAAGGATTCCACTTTTAGATAGAATCTGGGTTGTTTGGTAGGTGGAAATAGAAACTAGGCAGTTTTTATCTTAACGAAACAGAAGTTAATTTCAGATCTGTATTCCACAAGGAAAAAATAGTCAAAGGACGTTGTTGCTCGTTTTGCCTAGGCAACAGAGACTAAAGTCTCTGCTCAGAATAGTGTAATAAGACCATCTTTCTCCAGCCTGGAATCCTGCTGTGAGCAGGCCTCTTCAAGGTGGAAACATGGCATTTTCCATGTCACATAACAAGGTCAAAAGGAAATACTGAAAACTGGCTCAGTATTTCCTACTGTTATTATAATCCAGAGGGTTTTTTAAACAGTTGATGGGATTTTACTTTATTATCCTCAGTACTCTAAAATTGTTAGTGAAAAATGAAGACAAAATATAGTTCAGCAGACCATGTCAATGCAGTGCAAGATTACTATATTCCAGCCATGATGTTCTATGTATAGAAAGGGCTTGCAGAGTGGTGATGTCTCTCCGTGTTCCTAAAAAGCAGGCGAGTAAAAGAGTTCAGAGTCTTGGTTTCTGTAGGAGTTACAGAAATGTGGCGGGGGGAATCCCGGAGGAAATAATAGGTCCTCACATGGCCCTGCTGAGTTGGGAGTGGGGCACTTTGCTTCCCTCCGCCCCTGTATAGGCCAACAAATGGACTGAGGGTGGGAAAGAGCAGTTCTGCCCACTTGCTGTACCTTGTAAGTTCCCCGTCGATTAAATTGACCAGGCCCTTAGTTAAAATGCAGGGCTGTTTTATGGATTGCAGCTACCAGAGTTAATGATCTTTGGAGACTGCCGTTTCTTGGAAGAGTGAGTGAGAAAGCTGTATATGAAGCTTCTCAAGCTGTCTGGCTTGGATTTCGCGTCCTTCACTCAGTGTGCTTGGCATTTTGCAGGATTTTAGAAAGTCTTCTTGGCTAAAAAGACAAGATTTCAGGGTTCACTTGAAACCAGTGACCCATGCCTGTTTATCCAAAGGAATGGGAAAGTTGTTTTTTTTTTAAATATACAGTTCAGTAAACTTTGTTTAATGTTCTGTCACAACTAGTGCCTTTCCTTTAGCCTACAGAGAAGTTTTAGAATTCGCTCTACTGACTAATGTACATCTGATTAGGATGGCTTGTAGGTTTCAGTTCATAGCTAATAATAATGGCTTGCTGTCAAGTCAATTCCAATTTATGGCAATCCTTTCCAGGGTTTTCTGAATAGAGACTAGTCAGAAGTGGTTTGCCCTTCCCTTCTCCTGGGATCGGGTGTGTGCGCGCTGGGACTCTGTACCTACACTGGCTTTGTTCTTCTCCCAGGAAGCACAGTGGGGAACTGAATTCCCTAACTCTAGCTTTGCAGCTAGGTTTCTGATTCAGTGACCTCTCCAGCCAGGGGTTACTTTTCGTTTTGTTGTTGCTTAGTCCTTAAGTCGTGTCCAACTCTTCATGACCCCATGGACCAGAGCACGCCAGTCCCTCCTGTCTTCCGCTGCCTCCCGGAGTTGGGTCAAATATTTATATGAAGCCTGTGATTATATATACCCATGGAAGTGTATGAAAGTGGTGCTAACAACATGTGAATGAATTGCTTTTCAGACGGCGCCTAGCAGAGCGGCAGTGGGCGGTGGAGAGAGCAGCCATTATCTGCCGATGGACATGGCTACAGGCTCAAGTTTCAGACTTGGAGTACCGCATAAGGCAGCAAACAGATGTTTACAAGCAACTTCGTGCAAACAAGGTAAGGCAATGTGATTCTTTCCAGAATCATTATGTTCACTTCTTCTTCCTAGTGTTCTAGATTCTTAGGAAATAGGCGAAAATCTTCTAAGAAAACTGTTATAAGTATTCACTATAAGTTTAAGTCACAGTTTTGTCTTAGTCATTATGACTGAATTAACCGTGACCTGGTTAATGTATGCTGCAGGTAAGAACTCATCCTGCAAAATAATTTGAAGCCCAACTAGATTTAATCTTCGGTTCATTCATGTGCAAGACTTGGTGGTTACGAGGAACTCTGTATCCAAAAGATTTTGTGCAAGCCTCATGACAACTTTTTGGCTGGGTCATCTTAGGCAGTGTCCTCTTGAGGAGATGTTACAGGTGTGAGCATATGAACTGTGAATATCCTCCTCCTCCGGCTGCTGTTTCTTGGTTATTAAACTCACATCATTTGTACTCTGTGCCCAGGCCAAAAATGTTATGTTCCTACAAGGCTTACATTATGAAGGGAATTTCCAGTGAGGTGCTTACATGATTGCCAGCCACCACCATAATTGTGAAGGTTATATTTTTCTTTCTTTTCCCCCATGTTTTGGTTAGATTTGCATCTGGCTAAGTTTCAATATGGTTAGCATGGTCTATTGAATTAGCTGAATTGTACAGTCATAATAAGTCAGAAATTATTGAGGGATGGCCTTGATTTGAGAGATGTGTATTTGTTGCAAGTTGAATTAGAAATGCTTTAGGAACTCCAGAGGGAGACCTCAGCTGCAATACAGAGATATCTGCAAGCGGGATCTGAAGGTCCTCAACAGATGGGACACTTTGACATCTGAGCTGGAGGCAGGTGGTGCAGCATGGCCTCTCCCAATTTGAAGAGACCTTTGTTCAACAGGCTGAGGCCAAGAGGCAGTCCCGAAAGCAGCAAAACCAGGGAGCTGGACAGGGGACAGACTGGATTTGTCTTCAGTATGAAAGGGATGGTCACTCTTGAATTGGCCTTCTCAGCCACACCAGACGTTGTTCCAAGACCTCTATTCTGAGCACGTTACCATAGTTTCTCGAGACTGAAGGATGCCTACACACCAGAAACTCCTGCACTGGAATAATTTTCTTTTAATTACTTAGGGTCCAGTTGTCTTGGATGACCTCCAGCGTGGCAATACAATGAAGCAACAGAGTCAACAAAGTTCTGCAGCAGTGATGAATTCTAGGAAACACCTGAAGGTGCCTGTTGGAGACAAGCCGTGTCAGTTGTCTCCCTGCATCCCTTCCTACCTCCTGCAAAATGCAGAGAAACAGGTTGGTACATAGAGAAACTACGTCCTTCCATTGCTATAAGGAGAATTGATGCATGCACCCAATAATCAAGTAAAATGTACTTGATTATTGGCTGCCTAGAAATGTAATCTTTTTAGGAAAATATGTTTGCCCATGGGTTTTTATTTAAATTGGTGCTGATTTTCAAGACCTCAGACTTTGGACCATAACAGCCTTGTGTGATATAAACTAGTGAGAGGTCTTGTTACATGCTGTGTGCATAACGTGAAAGGTCTTGTTGCATGCTGGTTCATACAAAGCTGACTTTGTTTTCCAGCTGAGTTTCCTTTCCTTTTCTGTTATTTCTTTAATTGAGCACGCATAATGCTTTAGTTTATAATCTGCAACAGATGACTGATGTTTGACAGAGTGAAAGATTGGGCACGCACAGGGTGGGGTTTCTGATGAACTTTGCCCTGACCTTTTTTTCTTGATGCATCTGATTTGCCAGAGGGGCTAAATGAGGCACCTTTTCGCTTTTAATACCTAAACTGGATCGGGAAGAAATCAGGCTTCCAGAACTCACCTTACAGTCTTTTCTAGAACCACACTATCAGCCTGTTGAAATCTGACAGTGAAGGAAATTCACTTTGTACTCTTTCTGTTTTGAACTAGTTTTGATTTGTTCTGAGTACTCACAGCTTATTGCTTGCAGTTACTGGAAACTTTAGCAATATAATGGGGGCTGGAGGAGATGTCATTTTGTTGTTGCTGTTGTTAAATAAGTGGGAATCAGAAAGTCTTCCTCATTTGCTAGGAATGATGCAGAGAGCTACCAGTAGATCCCAAACTAACTTTTGTCTGTAGATTACTGGTTGTCTTTTATCAGTTTCAACTGAATCCTAGCCAAACTTTGATTTAGCCTTTTAATATTCTTATTCCCAAAGATCTATTATCAAGTTTTTATACCTTACTTAACTCATTTTGGAACCTGCCATCAAAGAATCTGATGCTTCTATCTGTGTGTTCTTTGTGGCACAGTCTGGGGGGGTGCTATTGCATTTTGACTGTCTGTGTGTCAGAGTCAAGACTGAGGCACGGTAACGTGTTGAAGACTGGCTGATAAATCTCAGGCTAAAGTAGAATTTGAACCAATTTACAAAAGCTTACCTCACCCCACCCCACCCCAAAGCTGCCACTAGCTTTTCTGCCTTTGGCAGTCTTACGTTTCTTGATAGACAGTTTCCAGGGATGCTCATTGTTTTTCTTCTGCACCCTATCAGGCTCGTGTCTAGTTTTTCTCATGGGCCTATTTTTTTTTCCTTTTGGATGTGTCAGATTCCATGCTGTCCTGACGGTTGCTTGGCCTTATTCTCTTGAATTAGCAACCAGCAATATCGTTCAGTTGCTCCTATTATTCTTGTAGTCGTCCTTTTGTGGTCAGTGAAACCAGAAGAAAATAGCTGGGCATCTAAGGGAGGGCCTGTTGAAGCTGGTGGAAGGAAGGGAACAGCAAGAGGGCTGATGTTATCCTTCCCTGGGAGATTGATTGTGTTTGGAGAAGTTATACTTTATTTATTTACATATTTATTTTATTAGATTTCTACCCCGCCCATCTAGACCAAAGATATACTCTGGGTGGCATTAAAAATTTAAAAACAGTTAAACCAATAAACTTCTACAAGTTCCCTTGAAGGCATTTAACGTGAAAAGAAAACGGGTGAGGCTCATATGTCACACTCCAGGCGTGCTGACCAGGCAGTTTGCCCAAATGTGGGTAACTCAGCTGCATAATTTGTGGTAGAGACATGACAGGGAAACTGTTGAAGGTGCTGTAATAATGAATTTGCATTGTCAGCAAGGGTCCTTATGATTGATTTCATGATTGGAGGAAAAAATGTTTTAGAGAAGAGTTGAAATGCCATATGAAAGGGGTATGGTGGGCTCCCCCCCCCGGTAATGTACCCATAGGTGAGCAAGTTGGGAGTAACAGAACCCTCTTCCTCAGGATGTCCACCAGCATTTGCAACCTGAGTGGCCTGCCTGTTTAATGCTGCAGTGCAAAGCACAAGCCAAGCTACACAAAGCTGTAATGTTATATTGAATAGGGGTTCATGAAGAGGTTTCCTTGAAATAGGCTACTTATATGTCTGCTCACAAGCTTGTCCACTGGTCAGGAAGGAGCCTCTGTGGCTCTTCTAGAATCACGTTCAGGTTGTAATGTTCAGCACAGGAGGAACTGTTTCATCTGATGGAACCTTCCTTGCTTGCTGCTCCCACCATTTGAATGCTTCATGTTTGAACTTTATATGCAATATGTTTCTATTGTTGTCCTTTCAGATGTTTCGGTTTTGGATTACAAATTTTCTAGAAAAGGCCTCCCTTGATAGGAGGGTAGAATAGTGTATTTTAGAATGAACGGTGACAGCTAGACATTAAAAATGCAACCGTTTCCCCCCCAAAACAGACACACAGAATCCTGCCCCGTCTGATTTTGCAGGCTTCTGAATTGTCACTAGGTACAGTACAGTATTTCTTTCTGCTATCCCCTTGCCTGCTCATTAAAGTCAAGTTTATTTGTACAGAGTTTGAGGCCATTCCTCTGTATGTCTGCTTGGAAGTAAGTACTGTTGGTTCAGCTGAGCCTATTCATGTGGGGCAGCATATGTTTTGAGCCCATGATGTATTGAAATAAGTCTTTAAACATTCAGTAATGCCATATTCTGTACTGGATTATTTATGCCTGAAGGCACAGAAAAATGTGGCTTATGCTATAGTTTTCCTGTGCACTGTATGATGATGTTTATTTATTTATTTATTTATTTATTGAGTATTTTCTTGTGGTATCTTCTCTGTCATAGTTTTTTAAGTGCTGAAAATGAGTAAGCTTTCTGTGTTTTTTTTCTGATGTGAAGGGAGGAAAAACTCAAAGGCCTGTGTAATGCAGAAAATGTCTTGATTTTAAAAATACTTAATGGGGAAAAATACCTGCGAGCTTTTGTTCCAATATTGGTATCCGTGTAGCTAAGTGGAGGCACAGTTTTGTAACTGTGTGTTTTTGAACTCTTCCCCCTAGGACACAGAGTATAGCATGATGGAAGTTAATGTGTTAAAAGGCGATTCATGAGAAATAAACTCTTGAGAGACTTTTAAAATGTTCGTTTGTGCTGTTCTTGACTTACAGGATTTCAGTGTTGGGAGAGTTATAGTTAGCAATATTCAATCAATTCAGTGGCATTTTTTTTGGTTGAGATGAAATCATTATTGAGGAAAGCAAAATCTTGGTCTTTCTTTCAAATTATGGATGTGTGTGGATTTCTTTTTTCATTCTAAGTCAGAGGTCCATGACTTCATGTCTCTTCCCTTTTAATACAGGAAGTGGTTCTGGATTTTCCCTGCTGAGATGGTGAACTGCTTTGAGCTTTGTTAAATTGCTGCTTTTGTATTCTCCTCTTCCTCTCTCTCTCCCTCCTCCTGTCTGCCAAGCAAGCCTTCTGATTCATTTTATCCCAAGACTTCCTTGAGTTTGATATTTTATTTTTCTCTTGCAGAATTCTCACCTTGCACAGTCTTTCAGAAACCTTGTGTGTCGAAATCCCTCATGTACATCCATCAATGGGTCTCCAGAGCCCCCCAAAGCCTGCAAACCACCTCCCCAAGTCAACGGAATAAGTAACTGGTTAGTCCTCTTTTTCTTACAGGTTGATCTGTGTAATGCTTTGGAATGTGATTGTTCTGTGCCAGTCATTGAAAAGAGGAAAATTAAAGTGGGGCTCCTGAGAGATGATGCCTTAGTTTGGATTGTAATTTTAAATGGTCTCAGGCCTGTGACAGGGTTTTATGATAACCATTATGCATTCAGGGTTTGCTCGTCTGGGATTGCTCACACCTTCTGAGTGATAATGCGAAAAGCCAAAACTTCTTTGTGTGTATGTGTGCGTTTCATATAAAATTCTTGAGTGAAAACAAGGAAGAACTTCTGGTTGGGAGAAAAAGATCTTAGATTTTGGCATGCAAGTTCTCTTTGGGATCCCTATTTCCAGGTTCCAGAAAGAACAGTTAGGTGTCACCTTTTGACATCACATAGGCTGCTCAAGGAGCAGTAATGAATCTTTAAAGAAAGCATATCTTCAAGGCAGAAGCTTGTTGATCATTTGTCAAGTTCATCAACTCAGAGTATTTTTATTAGCACATTGGAGTAAGGTGCACATTTTATTCTTTTTTTTTTTTGCAAAAAGAAAACCCCACAACTATAAATACAATCTCTTGGCATATGAAGGGGTCACTGTATGGATTTTAATCTCCTGGGTTTGTATTTCTTGCTGTTTTGCCACAGGAGGGTATGTAACAGTATTTTCTCATGGGCCAGGGAGAAAGGCATTTGTTTGTAAGAAAGGAAGGGGGTTACCCTGAGACTTAATTGTAGACGTTCAAATACTGTATAGGCAAACCCCAGTGAGATAGATGTTCATCTGTGTTCCCATACTTGAGTTGTTCACCTCCCCAGCTGCAAATGATGGTTGTGTTACCAGAATTCCCCTCAGACCCCTTTGAATTCAAAGCCTGGGGTGGGTGGGTGTATTTTATTCATTCATTCATTCGTTCGTTCATTCATTCATTTAATGCATGCAATGAGTGGGGTGGGTCTTTGTAGAAGGAAAGTCCCATCCCCCTTTCCTTGAGCAGTGAGGTTGATCTGCTTGCTTTAGGCCTGGTTCAGGCTTCCAGTTCCAACTTGTTCATCTTTGGTGACTCAAGAGCCTCTTAAGTTCTGGTCTTATTTTTGTTACAGTTCATTTTGCCAGTGCTATTTGTTTTGATTTCTTTATGCTTGGAATTTCAAATATTTTGTAAAAATGCCTCTTATTTTTAATGCTCTAGTGTTGCTGAACACACAGGGGTTACAAAGTCGCATCATTAGTTCCATGTTATGTAGACAATTGAAGAAACACAGGTGTGCCCCTTGCAAACAAATTACAGGTGGATCTGAAGCTATGCCAAAGCAATACTTGGGATTCTAAGATTGCACCACCATCTTATTTACAGTGGTCTTAAAGGACTGGAACTTTCTTTAAAGATCGGTCATTTCCTTGTGGGGGTTCCTCTTGCTGGTTCCTGTGGGGAACAGGGCATTGATATGGATTGGTCTTGGTCTGATCCAGCTTCTAGGTTCTTTGAAGGTTAACTAAATAGTCTTTGATTAAACATACAGTCCCGAATTACTTCTACCCTTCCTTCTTCCACTCCTTGAGTTTTCCTGCCATTTTTGGATTCAAGTCGTGTAGTTTTGTGATTTTTATAAAAGCTGGGTATGTTTGTTTTCTGTGGAAATGTTTGTTGATTCAAAACCATTTTATTATGCATAAACAAACGTGAAAATCTTTTGCAGACGTTTAATTTGTGCCTTGCAGTTATTTTGTCCAAGACCGTCATGTACTCCTGTGGGTGTGATTCAGAAGCTGGCTCTAAGAGGCATATTCAAAAACCAAGAGCTTGGCTTCATTTCTTATCAGTGCTACTAATAAATTAAGTATTGACAGCTCACCCCTCACTTCAGAACTTGCAGCAAAGGAAGTATGAGCTTTGCATTCATAATCCAATGTATAATCATTTTTTGAAGAACGGGGCTTTTTTTGTTCAGCTTTGTTGTTTAGTCGTTAAGTCATGTCTGACTCTTCGTGACCCCATGGACCAGAGCACGCCAGGCCCTCCTGTCTTCCACTGCCTCCCAGGGTTGGGTCAGATTCATGTTGGTCGCTTTGTTCAGCCTGGTGGAGAGAGCCTATGTGGACTGAGACATCGGTAAAGATAATGACAAGTTATCTTTAGTGTTGGTTATTGCTTGGATGTTGTAGTGTTGGTTATTGTTTGGATGTCGTAGGCGGCGGTGGCGGTTGCTGCTGCTACTACTACTAAGTACTAGTAGTAATATCAGCAATCGCCACCGCCTACTACTACTAGTAGTAGTAGCAGTACAGTATTTGGACTGAGACATAGGTAAAGATAATGACTGTTGAGGCACATTACCAGTTCAATATTGGCAAATCCAAAGTGGTCACTGTGAGAGAGGCAGCCAGGCACCAGAATCTTGACTTGATGTTCCTTCTTCTCTGGTCGAGATTGACTCAGACCTCTCTTCCTAGTTTGAACAGTTCTGTTGTTGGAGAGAGAGAGAGACTCTCCCTAGCTTAGCGAGGCAGTGGCATGGAGTTCCTGATGCGTGCCCTGGGTGAAGCCATGGGTTCCGAAAGTCATGGAAACTTCATTTTCCTCTTGCTCACCCATCTTCCTTGATATGTACCATGAATGTGCCAGGCTGGGGGCTTAGAGGAGGCAGCAACTGATGCAAGCTGCCCTTCTTGCCCATCACTCCACTGAATAAAATGGTGGCATATGAGACAGAGAACAAACAGCGAACACTTTGGAAAGGGCCTAACCTACATCAGACTTAATTTGGAAGCCCAATGGTTCCACCTCATAGCAAAAGGATATTCTGAGGGTGGAGAATACCAAAGTGGCAGTTTGTATCGTTACCATTCTTCCTGTTAAAACGTTATGATTGGAAGCGGGAATGTGTGGCACTTCAAATGGCTGATTTTTCCAAAATTTAATTTTTTTATTTCTATATGTGATTTGTGATTTGCCGTGACCTTTTTGCTTTTCAGTCCAAGACCCTTCCTCCAGGTCAGACATTGGCTTGGGTGTTTTACACCCATGGGAATGTCAGCTGCATCGACCTTCTCTCTTGTGTGTCCAGCTGTTTCTCTCCCTGGCTTCACAAGGTGTGGTGCTGCTGTTGCCCAGGAGGAGGAGTGCCTGTGTTGTGATGGAGTTATTTGGACATAACTGAGGCTAAGCACATTGCTACCTGCTGTCAGGACTTGTTGTACTACAGTGGGCCATGAAGCAAAATAAACACAGCAGTGTTTTGCTTCTCTTTTTAGGCCTTGGAACGTGAAGATATTTAGTGTTGATGAAGCATTCTAATCCTTAGCGGCAGCGATGTCCTTGCCAAACTATTCAAGGGTGTGCACCAACGAAACAGTGCCCACAGCTCTAACGTCCACAATCCACATTGTTCGCAGATGTTGGTACAGTAAGCATTGTAAGTGCAGGAGAGAAAAGGGCAAAGAGATCTTAATCATGTGGGTATGCTTTCCTGGACTGACCAGTCTTACAGGCTTGTTTTGAGAGTAACTTGAAGGAGGAAGACCCATGTGTGAGAGAAAAGCAGAAACATAACAGTCAGTTGTTCAAGGCGAAATAAAAGGGAAAAGCATTGCAGGAAGGAGTATTGGCTGAAGAGCCTAGAAGACTGGCTTGGATGGAACATAGATGGTTTACAGCCGTCACCTCCAGAATTATGATGTTGTCCAACCTCTGTTAGGAGAGGAAGAGGATCAGAAATGATGTCTAACTTAGAATTGATCCATGCAGCTTACAGAAATTATGGCTAATTGAAGTTCCACTTATTTAAGGAAATATATTCTGAACATGCAATAAACAGATGGGCCATGCTATTAAGTACTGTAGTTAGGACTCTCGGCAAATATTCTTGCAGTAATACGGTTAAGGGGGTTGATAGGCCTGCGCCTGATGGACACTTCAGCTGCTTGCTCTTCACCATAATACATTTTTCATGCGGCTCTGCTTTTGTCTTCAAGCCTTTATGCTTCCTTCCCAGGGCTTCTTGGGAGAATGTTGCTTACTTAGTATACCCGGTATGGTATATAAAAGCTCTCATCTTAAGCATTAAGGGAAAGCTCTTCAGGTTTGTGGAATAGCAGGCATTAATGTTCTAAAGTGTGGCATGGTGGCACTAATATAATAGCATTCCAAGGTTTGCAGACAGTAATGTGGAGTAGAATTTTTTGAACCTTTCAACGGGCTGAAATCCTGTTGCTTAGCTTAAGAAAATGTGTACCTTTTGGTCCATTCCTAACCAGCAAATAAAGAATCTCTGCTGCTATTTGTGGCAGATGGGGGTGGAACATGCACACACACTGGATTGGTACATGTGTGCGCACTCCTGAGAATCGTAGTGGGGCCTTTTTATTTCTGGTTAGCAACAGACTGAAAGCTACACATTTGTTGTTGTTTTTTTAACACCAAGCAACAGGATTTCAGCCATTTTTGTATTTTTCCCCCCACTAGCATTTCTTCCCACTCTCCCCCTTTATTGCTTTGGATCCCTATGTGTGGCTCTGCGTGATTAGGTTCCTCTTCTACAGTTTCAGCACAGGCTCCACTAGCAACTCCCAGGATGGTGGTGTGAATGCTGACAGGATCCTCAGGAAACCAAAGCAACTGAAGAACAGCCTGCCTGCTGCCACTGCCGCCACCGCTGCCTTTGATACCAGCTGTGTTGCTGCAAGAATTCGTCCAATTTGCAGATACAGGAAACGCAGGCTGGTGAGAGTTAGCGCAGTCTCTCACCTCAGTAGAAAGGTAGGTGTGAAGTTTCCACTCTGTAGCTGTTGCAGGATAAAAGATTTTGAAGTGACGTTCTCAGCATTTACACTTCAGGAGACTTTAGGGCCTGTTCCATCCATCTGGAGCATTGAGTGGAGGGAGCTGCATTTCCTTTTGAGCTTTCGGCACGGCCAAGGATCACTGTTGAGAAACCACACTGTCCAGTAAAAGGGGCAGTAAGGAAGCATCGCTTTCTGTGTTGCGTATACAGTAGGAGTGGAGGATAAGTGGCTGTTCGGATGTTGTTGACCTGCAGGTTGCAGTCCAGGGACATCTTGGAGCATGACAGGTCCCTCTCTGGCATAGGGGCAGCTTTGGCCTACGTTGGTTACTGGACAGGAGCGCAGATGGATGTCGTTCTCCTCGGTGGGTGTGCCTCTCTTGGGAGCTTCCACGCACCAGGCATGTCTGCCTCTGAGCAAGCGGGTCCAGGGGCTAGTTTAGGTTGACTTCTGCTCTGCTCCGCAGTTGGATGGGCTGAGAGAGTAGGTCTTCCTGAGCTTAACCAGTGAGCGGCGATTTGAGTCCAGCTGTCTCCTGGGCCCAGCTGTGTCACCATCCCGTCCCAGTTCAGACCGATCAGATTGGCAGCATCTCTCCACAATGCCCTTCGACAGCGTTCTTTCTCAACCTGCTGTGGTTGGGACTGAACTTGCGTGCCGTGCGTGTACTCTGTTCCTGGGTTACAACACCAGCCACCTCTCACAGTGGAATCTGCAACCAAGCAAGCCGTGCGGATGATTCCTGTTCAGGATTCCAGCCCCTGCATTCCCCACCCAGCTGCCCCCATTTCTGGCTTTCTTGCCTCGTTAACCAGACCGTGCCTATTAAAGATGGCGAGTATTCCATGAACGGTTTTTCCTCATTAGGTTTTGTTTTGTTTTTGTATTTCCATAGGAAATAGGAATTCCCACAAGCCCCCTTTTGTCTTTCATGGGTGCCCTTTTGAACTACCTGAGAATAAGTATCGAGAGTGTGTGTTGGCTGCCAGTGTTGTTGATTAGCTGCACACTCTGTGCTCCCAAAAGGTTGCCTGGATTTATAGGAAACCTATTGTCCAAATAACTTGGGTGGAGGAGTGTCTTGGAACATGTTTGATATTTGGTATTTTAAACAATTGAAGGCAAGGTTAGTTAAAAAAAATCTTCTGACAAAATAAATAAATAATCTTCTTGAAGGCGCAAGCGTTTTCCACATCATTCTGGCCGTATTATTCCATCGCGTGCCAAAGTATGCTAACAGTAGGAAATGGGTGCTTTAAAATGACCACAGGAAGATTTCAGCTGGAAATAGAAGGAATGATAACACATAGCTTTGAAGTTGCATTACGAGATTGTTTTCCATTACAGGGAGCCCGTTAAGATTTAAACGGTTAAAGGCCAGAAGCCCGTATGCAGAGTTTTGAAATGAAAGGGGGCGGGCTGTACTCTGTACACTCCGCCTGTGCTGCTTACTGTTAAATTTCTGGCCCCAGGTATTGCTTGTTTGCCTTTGGAGTGTCAGTGTTTCTCAAATAAAATGAAATAAAATAAAAAGCAGCAGCAAAACTTTTCACACAGCTGATTGGTATATTTTCTTTTTGAAATGTTGAGTATTTGAGTTTTGGTCCTCATTTTTCTTTTCCTTGAAACAAATTGTGGCTTTCCTACTTACATAGAAAGGGAAATTTTAACATTTCTTCTTGTTGCAGCTTCAGCGACCCCTCAGCCTGAAGTGCAACTGTGAGCATCCCAATTCCTGCATCTTGTGTGACTGTAAGGCCCCTGTCCAGACCATAAACCCAGAGATGATGTCTTTACAGGAGCGGGTGGCTCTGCTGGACTCTGGCTTCCATCCCATACTATCTTTTTCTCATGGTGAGTAAAAATTACAGCCTCTTCATGCGACATTCCCGTTCAGGTGACCTTTCTTCACTCCTTGAAGGTGCAGGCGTTTTCCACATCATGCATCTGAAGAAGTGGTGTGTGTGTGTGTGTGTGTGTATGTGTATGTGTATGTGTATGCACGTATGTATGTATGTATGTGTGTGTATGCACACACATGCGCATGGTGTCAAGTCAATTGTGACTTACGACAAGCCTTTTATTAGGGTTTTCCCAGTAGAGGATACTGAGAAGTGGTTTACCATACCCTTCTGGAGACTGTGCAGTTTTTCCAAGCCTACACAAGGCTGGCTCTTCTGGGCACAGCGAGGAACTGAACTCCGAACTTCTGGTTCCACAGCCAGATATCTAAACCAATTACAGTCTGTGAAACTGTGAACCTGGCTGAGCGGCTGGTAAGTGGTGCCGCCGCACGGACTCACATCACGCTGGTTCTGAAAAATTTACACTGGCTGCCGGTTGCTGCTCGGGCCCAATTCAAAGTGCTTACTTTGACATATAAAGCCCTAAACGGCTTAGGACCTGGCTACCTAAAGGACTGCCTTCTTCCATATGGGCCTGCCCGTCCTCTAAGATCAGGCCAGGAGGCCCTTCTGAAGGTGCCATCCCTGAAAGAGGTGAGGGGGATGGCGTGTCAAAATAGGGCCTTCTCGGCTGTTGCCCCCCAACTTTGGAATGCCCTCCCTATAGAGATCTGCCTGGTTCCAACTCTTCTGACTTTTCGACGCCAGACAAAGACCTTTCTGTTTAGCCAGCATTTTAATTAAACAGTATTCTCTAGCTGGCCACATGAGCAGCAGGACTTATTAATATTAATGTTTCAAGAATTGTTTAAATATAGGATAATTTATATTGTCTTTTTAATGTTTTTAATGTTTTTAAGTTTTAATGTTGTACGCCGCCCAGAAGCCACTGGTAATGGTGCGGCTAAAAAAATTGTAAATAAATAAATAAATCTTGTGCCAAATGTAAAAAAATAAATAAATAAACGGAGCTGCCATAAGACACCGTCTTGTTCCTGCTGCAACAACGTAATAGGGAAGTCTGGAGGACATACGTCGATAAGTACTAAGAAGTGTATCTTTTCATTACATCTCAAAGCGCCTTGTTTTGCTCTTTTTCTAACAGGCAGCCCTCTTCATTTGCACTTTGAAGCCCTGCTAAGAGAGGACCACAGACTCTACCACAGGATCAAGAATCCCAAAGCCCTCCATTGTGGGTTGAAAGACCTTACAAACAACATTGGCTCGTCTCCTTTCTCTGCTTCTGGTAAATTATATCATACATACAGGAAGTATAATTTACCTCTTGGCAGAAGGCAAACGCTGAACAGCCACATCCTCTTTTGGCGCTGAAATACCCCTCTGTGCAGAAGGGTGTTGCTTTATCTAACTCTGTGTTCCTGCATGGAATTGAATGGTCTTTAATCCGCTAAACGTTATTCGAATCAAAACATCTTCGTTTCCAGAATGCCACAAGGCTTTTTATTGTTCCATCAGTTATGTTGGTGGTTGATCAAATGTTGCACAATTAGCAAGGAGTTCTCTGGATTAACCAGAAAAACTGGATTCCCATTGAGTTAATTTTATCTTGTTCTTTCTTACTAGACTCTCCACTGAAAGGATCAGCTGGTCACCCTCAGAGCCACAAGCCTAGTGCTCTGCGTTCAGTCTCATCGCTGTGCCTAGAAAACACTCCCGCCCCCCCACACTCCCCGGCTGCTGGCAGCTCAGCATTGGTGAGTGGAAGCATGCCGGGCTCTGGCCCACAGAGCGGCAGGCAGGCAAGAACAAATGTGGAGTTGGGGAAACCAATGGGTGGGGCTCTGTATTCTGGGCTCTGCTCTATGGAATGTTGGACTTTCAGGCCGACTGCTCTGAAAAAGATAAAACAGTGATTTATCTTAGGATGCTAAGAATTTTGTTGGGACTGTGAAGGAAATATAAAGCCAAAGGGATAAAGATTAAAAAAATCTTGAAACATAAAATGCAGAAAGCTAGAATGCAGAGAGAGAGAGAGAGAGAAAGGGGCAGAAGATTTTATGATGTTCTTTATACTTAACCCTCTTCTGTTCTTTTCACTGAATGACACACACTTAGGAGAGCAAAACTGCTGTTAAAAGATGTTCGTTATCTTAACCTTGAATTATCTCCTAATTAGTTTGCTTTTCTGTTCCAAGCAGATCCCTCATAGAATTCCAGGTTTTCGAAACATTCAGGGTACTGTGCCGAAAGAAAATGAACAGTTGTATAACTTTTTTTTTCAGAAGGCAAGCCTTGAAGGTGGAATAAAAATATACCGTAGAAATAGACTCTTTATCTGTTTTTCATCTTTGCTTTGCCAGGATATCCCCATGTCCTTCCGTTTCTAGTTTCATCGCTTCCCCCCCCCCCACAAACTACATTATTTGTATCCTCTTTTCTCCCTTAACATTTTTAAAAGCCTTGAGATGAATCAGAACGGTCCTCTGACGTCAAAACAATCTGATCGTTCAGATATTTGTCAATCTGGTGGACAAGAGGCCAAATGTGTCTGTGTTTGTTCATGTGACCTTGCCCCCCCCCNTACATGGAATTGTGGTTGCAGGGGTGGCTGAAATATCTTCAAGGTTCTGGCGAGAGATAATCTTGTCCTTTGTCCCATCTTTTCACATCTCTTTTCCCATTCCATTTTATATGGAAGGTTGGGTGAATCATAGCAGAGGCTGTTGAAGGCATGTCGTTAACCATTCATGGCACTACATTTTTAATGTACAGACCTATATGGCATGTGCAAAATGTGTGCGTGGGGAGATCAAGCCAGCAGATCCTGGACATTTTAGTTCTTCAGAAGAGTGACTGTGGAATTGAGGGACACCAATAGTAATTGTTGACGATTGGTAGGAAAACATGTGACTTATTGACCATGTGCTGCTGATTTGTTTGCTTTCAGCAACCGGCAAAGAAGAAGAAAGTGGAGTGTTGCTACGATATCAACAATATAGTGATTCCTGTGTCAATGGCTGCAGCTACGCGGGTTGAGAAATTGCAGTATAAGGAGATTATAACCCCAAGGTGGGTAACAGGAGCCCTTGAGGCTTAGCGGATTTACAGAAGAGCGAGCTGCACATGTGGTCATCAAGAAATCTCACTGCCCTCTAGGCCAGAGTGAAATCGCAGAACAGCACAGGGAAGAAAGACTTCTTGGTTGTCGAATGCAGGGCTGCCCTCTTGCTTGTTGTTCTCCTCGCTCTGAGGGGAGGGGGCCCAACGGCTCACGGCGGGGGGGGGCAGCAGCCAGCCTGGGCAACCAGATGAGCAAGAGGGCAGCCGGTGAGGCTGGAGCGAACCTTGCCCTTCCCAACCCCTGTACGTTTGGCAAAGCCTGTGATTTCTTTTGCTCCGGAGCGCTTGCCCGCTGCTCTGAATTTGGAGCGACCCCAACTCTGAATTGTTGAGCAAGCGGGCACAAGATTGCTGTCCTCTGAAGATGCCCATGGCCACAGAGACTGGCGAAACGTCAGGAAGAACAACCTTCAGAACATGGCCAAAGAGCCTGAAAAACCCAGAACAACCATTAGATCCCGGCCGTGAAAGCCTTCACGAATATATTATGGTTTAAGCCTGTGTGAAATTAAAGCACCATAAAACTCCTTCTTTTTGAGCAAAGAACCTGATTTGAGAGCAGCACATACAAGAATTCCCTTAATTTGAAGTGGTTTATTTTTATTTATTTATTTATTTGTTTGTTGTTGTTGTGTTTCTATCTTTTTTTGTTTTGTTTTGTGATTGTGTCTTTGCTTGGTTTTGGCAGCTGGAGGGTGGTAAATACTGAAGACCTGAAGAATTTCGGGGAAATAGACTCAGAGGTAAGGAGCATGTTGTGTGCTTGTTACCTCCTGCTTGGAGAGGCATGTCTGTTTCTCTCTTGACTGGGTTTTTTGAGTTAATGTTAGGGCTACCACATATTTTATTTTTTTGCTGTATAAATATTGTGTGCAGTGTTACTGTACGTAACTGTTTCCTGTGATTCCTATTTTTTTATTTCCTCCTTTGTTCTTTCTTCAAAGTTGCAGATTGCAGCCATTTTGTGAGTTAAACTTCATAGGCATCCTTCAGTCTCGAGAGACTATGGTAATGTGCTCTGTATGGAGGACTTGGAATAGCGTCTAGTGTTTTGACGCTGTACGCAAAGCTGGAGTGTCCTCTCCAGGGCACAAAGCCTGAGTAAAATAATATGGAGGATAGGCTGTTACCCAACCAGCAAATCCCCTCTCTCCACGTCACTGAAATGTTCCAATGGAAAGGCAAGAGCCAATACAACTGGTTTCAGCGACGTTGCAGGAGTTGACAGAATGACACGAACTGCCTCCGGGACTTTGGCTCCAGATTTTGCCTCAAGGTTAACTCCTGAAGCCTTTTCCATCAGTGGATATAGCCACAAGGCAGTGGAGGTTTGAAATCGGAGTTTTCCTTCTCCTAGAGGGGCTGCCTTCCATTTGCCTACAAATGTACCTGGCCTCTACACACAGATTCTCAGCAAAGGGCATTTGCCAGATTCTGCTACCATTTGAGAAGTGGTTGATGGTTATTATGGGAAGGACCCCTAATGGTGGCATCCCAGTTATAAAATGCTCTACACACGGAGACTAGGGACAGTCCTTCAGCACCAGTAAAAGACTTACCTTCCCAGATTTGTCAAATCAGTTTCATCTCTGCTTTATAAATCCCTTTTCAATGTTGATGGTTTTAGTAAGATGTTTTTGAAAGTTTGTTTTAATTTTTGTTTGTTTGTAAGTTGTATGAAGAACAGAATGTTAGTTCTTTAATACATTCACTTTAATATAAATTTTAAATTGGAGAAAATCTTCATAGGGAGGTGTGTGGACCCAGGCAGGCAAAAAAGGTCTAGTGGATAGATCCACTCCTCCTTCTTCCTAATAGCCTGCTAATAGATTCGTCGGTGTTATTTTCTGCTTCTCATAAGTTATCACTTGCCTCAAGTCCCACAAAATAATTGCACCACAAATTCCTGAAGTAGGTCGACTTCACATCTTCTGGGTGCTGCTGAGCCTTTGCTCTTCCTCCTCTCCTGAGGTCGCTTGCTCTTCCCACCTCGACACTGTCTCGGTCTAACAGCCTGCTTTGCTGTCCTCCTTTGTTCCCTGCAGCCACTACCTCCTCCTTCACCTGCCTTCCCTCATTGGGCAGTCAGTCGGAGGAGGCAGGATGACTCAGTTTATGGAGAGTGGCGGGGGGGAATAGCCTGTCTCACCTACCATGAGATCCTTTCCAAGAGAAAGGCCAAGGAAGGGGCATTGCATCCTGGGTGGCCCTCCCCCCTGAGGCTGGCGTCCACCTTTGGGAGGCTGTGCTCCATTGCTCCCCTCCGCTTGGAGGTGGTCTTTCCTGAGACAGAGGGGTGCCTTGTGGGGCATTGTTTCTAAGAGGTGGAAGGGACGCCCCTCTGGGCAGTGGCGGTGGCAGCAGCCACAGACGCATCATCCAATGCCTCTGTCTTCTCTGATGGGTCCTGGGTTTGCTGGAGCAGCAGCTTTCTGTGGATGGGAAGTTTAGCCACTAGTTCCCCTCTACCACGTAAAGCACCCCAACCTCAAAGCAAATCCACGTGTCTTCCCTGGGTGGTGCAGGTCAGGAATCTGCACAGTCTGAGTGGCCTCCCTTCCTGCCCAGGGAATGGAACGGTGACCTCTGACCCAAAGTAAAGCTCCCATGAGACCACAACGTTACCTCTTGCTTGACTTTGTTGTAGCAGCAGCTTCCTCGTTTGTTCCGTTTATCTACCTGCCTTTCTGACTGTTTGGGAAATATCTCTTATTCGTAGTGTTAGTTTAACCTTTTCTTTCTAATGATTTGCCTTATTTATTTGTTCATTTTGTTGACCGGGCAGGTCAAGGAGAGGAAAAAGGGGAAGGGGTCGTGCGTCTTAAAACCCTCTGATAAATCTGTGACATTTTATTGTTCTCTCCAGAGCTGTTTAGTTGTTAATCCTTTAATTGTCATGGGTGGGGAAATGACAGCAATTTTAATCTGGACATTTCTTTGACTTGCACAGAATAACTCATTCTCTTTTGCTCTAGCTGGAAGATACCTCTGATGAGACGTATCTGAACCACCACCAGAAATATGAACAGCTGGAACGGTCTCATTGGGATTCCTGGGCAGGAACCATTCCCCACAAGCGAGGGAACAGGTACCCGATTCGTAATAGCTCTTGTCTTGAGGACACCTCTTTTTCCCCCTAATAAATTGTATCAGTTATTTTTCTTTTCTGTATAGATTAAGAGCAGAGCATTAATAAGGAGGGAGTAAGTGAAGTCTGCCAGTGGGCTTTGGCTAAGAGGATTAGGAGTCTGACATGATCCAGCTGCAGTCAGTGCTGCTTCTGCCCTGGGCATAGGGATCGATGGGTTGCTGTACGGCAGAGTCTCTCTTTCCGCATTATAAAGTCTGACTCGCTTATTTCAGCCTGGCTTACATTCTCTATAATGCTGGTGCCTTTTTCGTCTTGCTCTGTGGCTCCAGCTCAAGGTTGGACTTAATGTCCTAGTAAGATGCTTTCAGGCATCTGGACACTAATGTGCCATGAAAAAGTCAGGTGCAGTTTGCCTCCTACGTCTGGTTCCATTGTTTATTAAGAAGAGCACAGTAGCGTCGTATGATATGCCACCTGCTACTTGTGTTTCTGAAGTCAGGTTTTGTTTGAACTGCGCACATTGGGCAGGATTTACTTCTCATGTGTTTTGTTGTTGTTGTTGTTGTTTTCTTCACTGTGTGGGTCCACGGTTGTGAAGCTACGCTTTGGTGTGGTGTGTTCTTATTTTAGGAGTGCCAGCAAACCAGAGGGCCAATGGATGGCTCCACCAGGCTCCCCAGAGGCCACCTCGCCTACCCTTAACCACACCCCACGTGCAAGCTCTCCTGCCGGATCTCTCAGCCCAGAGCTTCCGAGTGTTGCGAAGCCACTGCTTCTGAAGGGCCGAGGGAGAGGAAGCCTCTCCTTGCGGGAAGACACCTGTTTCTTCCTCTCAGAGATGGAGGATGATATCCAGGTGAGGATCATCTTCCCTTGCTCATCCCCTCTTAGGTCATTCCAGACACGAGGTGCTCAGCAGCCATCTGGTGGGTGTTTGGGCTGCCTGTACCTCCCAGCCACAACTGTTTACTTCCTTCCTTGTGGAATAACAGAGGAGTTGAAAGGAGGGTGACACCACCTGAAATGTGCTGGAAAATGCTAGTGGTCTCCTGAGTTTGTGTCTTTGAACGTATTGGTGTAGCATACTGGTTTCTTCTGTGGCCATCAGAATTTTCTGTACTATGGGAGGGATAACAGTTTGAATCAACCCTGAGTGCTCCCTGGAAGGACAGATCCTGAAGCGGAGGCTCCAATCCTTTGGCCATCTCATGAGAAGAGAAGACTCCCTGGAAAAGACCCTGGTGTTGGGAAAGTGCGAAGGCAAGAGGAGAGAAGGAGATGACAGAGGACGAGATGGCTGGACAGAGTTCTCAAAGCGACCAACATGTATTTGACCAAACTCAGTGGAAGACAGGAGGGCTTGGTGTGCTCTGGTCCATGGGGTCACGAAGAGTCAGACATGATTTAAGGACTAAGCACAGCAAAGCAGTTTGAAACTCATAGCCATAAAGTGATTCAAACGGCTGTTTTCTTTTGAAGCAGCAACGGAAACAGTGATCCTAGCCAGATTTATCTGCCAAGTTGGCCACAACTGAGCCACTGGGATTTATCTCTCAAAAATGTCACAGTGACCAAGTTTTTAATCTCTCGAGATGCATGCTGCCAGACCATAATTTGTTTTTCCCCTTGACTCAGAGACCATGGTGTGTGGGGGTTGCCATGCCAGGAGCTTAAAAAGTTAATTGTGAAAAAACATTACAGTTATAGTTCTAAGTCCCGTCACTCCCCACTCTTTATAGTTAGTGTTTCAAATGCATCTTTTTGCTTCTTGTTTCTGAAAAGTAACTGAAATGGAATACCTTCAGTTTCCTTAAAATACAACCTATCAATCCTGTGACTGACGAGTTCCGTTCTCCTCTTGCCTGTTTTTGGCATCACTTCAGTGGAGCACAAGGCACCCCTGGAACCTCATGACATTCATCCTCCACCATGTAGGGAGACCACCTCTTTATTACTATAAAAGTGGTTATGAAAGTTAGGTGCATCCCAAATGGGGTGACCTTTCCTTTTTAAGTTATAGTAATAAGGTAGCATTGTTTTAGAAATACAGTGGTGCCCCGCTAGACAACGACCTCGCAAAATGACGAATCCGCATGATGAAGAGGTTTTGCAATCGCTATAGCGATTCGCAAAACAGTGTTTCCAATGGGCGGTTTTTGCTGGACGATGTTTGGGCCCGTGCCCCACAAACTGTTTCTCGCAAGACAACGATTTTGGCACTGATCGGCGCTTCGCAAAACGGGTGTTTTTGGGACCGATGCTTCGCAGGACAGCCATTTTAACAGCTGATCGGCGCTTCGCAAAATGGCTTCCCTATGGGCGATTTTTGCAAAACGATGACTATTTTCCCAATTGGATCACATTAAACAGGTTTCAATGCATTCCAATTGGGAAACTGTTATCGCAAGACGATGTTTTCACAAGACAGCTATTTCTATGGAATGGATTATTATCGTCATGTGGGGCACCACTGTAGGTAAATGTATACTGCCAAATCCTGATCAAACCCCAATGTTAAATTGGTTTGCAAGCCCAGTTACCCTGAACTGTGGCCTGTCATTTCATCAGGGTTGATGAGTTACAGTTCCCTCTTTTCCCCATAGAGACGAGAGCAGACTCTAAAGGCCCAGTGCTAGCCAGAGGGAAGTTGAACACAGAGAAGCAGCTCTGAGGTGTAGTTTACATGCTGCATCATCGGGTGCTTACCACATGATCTGTCCTTCGCACAGACTGTGGTTTAGCACAATCTCTGACTTTGAATCTTGTTGCCGATGGGCTCGGAGACCTGCTTTTTCTGTGGAAAGTCCTTTATTTCTCCAGGTGAAAAGACGTATATGAGCCTTGCAAATAAATGAGGTCAGGGAGAAGAGAAGACTTGCCATTTCATTCCTTCTCCGGGGAAATTTTTCCAGGTTCATTAATGTCCTCTACTTGTAGAGAACATTTCTCTTCATAATTTGTAAGGAAACCTATTGCTGGTTTAGGAAAGCATTTATTCAGTACTGGCCGTAGACACAGTCTACGGAAACAAAGATACAGTCGTGCCTCGCTAGATGATGATAATCCGTTCCACTGAAATCGCTGTTTAGTGAAATCATTGTCTAGCGAAAAGCATTTCCCCATTGGAATGCATTGAAACCTGTTCAATGCGTTCCAATGGGGAAGAATCGTCGCTGTCTAGCGAAGATCGGCCATAGGAAAGCCGCTTTGCGAACTGCCAATCAGCTGTTTAAATCGCTGTCTTGCGAAGCTTAGGTCCCAAAAACACCTGTTTTGCGAGCGCGGAGGAAGCTGTCAAAATCGTCATCTAGTGAAAATTGGTTTGCGAAGCAGGGACCAAACATTGTCCAGCGAAATTCCCCCATAGGACTCACTGTTTTGCGAATTGCTATAGCGAAAAAATTGTCATGCGGAGTAACTGTCTAGCGAGGCGCCACTGTATAAGTAGGGAGCTATGTAAGAAACACACAAAGGCCCCTAAAACGAGCCATTGGAAAGGGTAAGGTCCCTTGGAGCTGTCTTTCCGAGGAAGGTCCTTTGATCTTTGTTCGGGAAGGAGTTGAAGCACTTGGTCGTCTTTTAACATAACTTTGCTAAAAGATCGGGAAGGACTGTGTTCTCATGCCTTTCCGTAGATAGTGGTCTCCCCAAAATTCCTTGGGGACATGGCACTGGCTTGTCTTTATAAAATTATCAAATCCTAATAATGTGTGATTATGTTTCAACGTTTTAGTGAAGGTGATCTCCTCATACTCAGGCTTGTGATCGAAACTGGAATCAGCAAGATAGAACAATGTCATGATCTCTCCCCCCCCCCCCAAATGATCTAGCCTTCCGGGCCAGTAAAACTGTCCTCCTTTCTCTCTGTTTTAGAATGTGCAGCCCTGGGAGCCCCGGACGTTCCCTCTCTCCGACGCAGAGTGCCAAGCGCTTCAGGGCCCGTGCGAAGTCCTCAGCAAGCGGACAAGCGCTCTCCTGCAGTGGGACTCTGGAAGCTATCAGGGCTTGAGGACTAACCGTGTGAACTCGGGCGCTTCTCATGCAAGGGAGCTCTCGATGCGTCGTTGGCCAGTGGAGGCAGACAGAAGCAAGCTGCAAAAGGAATTTGTCGGTCAGCCCGGCATCCTGCCGGTGCTCCTCAACAATAGATGAGCGCTTGGGCCCCCGATAACATCTGGTAGAGTTGTGCCCATACTGGATAGCTTGGTATCGCTGAGCTTGGCTAGTGAGCTGGCCTGGCAAAGCAGTGGCGGCTGCGCCAGCAGCTGCAGGAAAGCGCTGCCGCCCACAAAGCAGAGATCCCGCTGTGCATTTGGAGCTCCTGCTCCACTAGACCAGCAAGGGCTGGAGAGGGCAATAGAGGTGCTGGGTTTCCCTAGAGTGGGAAGAGGGGGCCGTCCAGAAAAGCCCCTGGCAAGCCCATTCTGGGAGGGAGAACCCAAAATGCTCCACTGGCGAGAAGGTTAGGGGCGGCGGCTCTGCGCGCAGAGCATCCCAGGGTAACCCAGAAAGGGAGCAGTGAAGCAGCGGGAAGGTGGCCCACGTGGGGGGCAGGCGGGCTGAGCGGTTTCGATGTGGAGGCCTGCTAACCCAGGCAGCACTTCTTGGAAAGGACACCCATCCAATGGGACGTCTCCTCCCCCCCCCTCACCAAGGTTTTTTTTTGCCAGACAGTAGGTGGAAATATTGACAGTGGGAACTTGCTCACACAGATGACAGACACGCTTGGTCCCAGAGGCACGAAGGCTGTGGACATATTTGCTGGGAAGGAGCGCTGGTGTTCTACACATGGGCACTGAAGAAATGCAAGCAGTGGAAGATGGGCTTGTCCCTACTAACTGTGTATGTTTAAAGGTAGTTTGGAAGGCAACCATATTCTAACGTACAAATCCTATTCTCTTGGCCTTCCGGACATGCTGTTGTCGCTGAAAATGACGTCAGATCATGATAACCTAGGAGGGGTTTTTTTTGTCTTGGTTTTACATTTCTGCCATAGAAGCTGTAAATTGTGTTCCTTTTTAGATGTTCTCATTTATCTCCCCAATAAAATAAAACTGATGGGGTGGTTGGTACGGGCCTTCCAGTGGCAATTTGTGTCTTTATCAGGGGCAGGATTCAGTATAAACAAATGCCTGGGGGAGCATGTGCTTTTGTCTCCCTCCTCCCCTTTTGTGCATCTGCCTTCGTTGGGAATAGTATTGCTAATCTTTTTCCTTTTTTTAAATCTTGAATTGAAACCACCTTAAAACTTAACAGAAATACTCTGTGTTAAGTTTGATTTTATAATTAGTGCCACAGCAGGCTTATTTTTTTCTCGCAAAGAGAAGTTGAACCTATGTGCGAAGTCCACATTTTTGTGGAATGTAACTGCTCAGGAACCAGCTTCCATTTGCAGTTTTGAGTACTGCATCTGGCGAGTAAAGATTTACAGAGAGGAATGCAGAAGGCCATTTGGGCATTGTTTCTGTACTCTTTTTTTTTTCTTTAATTGCAGTCAAAGCTGGACAGTTTTCCTTAAAATGTTTCAAGGAAATTGTGCTTGGGTCTCTGGTAACAGCTGTGAGAATAATGACTGCCTCTCAGCTGCCCAGCTAGTGTTCGATGAAGCTACGAGATGAATAAATTGTGGCTGTTTCGCTGTCTGCCAGGGACACCGAGAGTGCCCCTTCAGTGTTAGCCAGGATCACTGGGCATTTATGTTTCAAAAAGAAGCTAGGAAGAGTTTTTTCTATTTGAAAGGGGAGGGTTTCTTGTTACTAATTAGTGTAGAATCCATTGACCATCCAGCCAGTTAAATTTATATTCCTTCAAGATTTGCCTCGTTTGCATTTCATTGGACTCCCTCCTCCCCCCCCCCATCTTTCCTAGAGGATTCAACATTCAAGGCTAAGGAGGATGGTTTTTAGTTAAAGCAATCCCATCTTGCCACCTGGATAGAAACAGCTGATGACTGAGCCATGTCTTTCCATATCATTCTTTATCGGGCTTTCTTCACAGGGAGATTGGGGAAGTTAACCTCAGTGTCATGACACTGATTCTAAGCTACTTAAGTAAGAGTTACATGAGAGGTGTGTGTGTGTGGGAGTGGGAGAAACAACAGTATGAATAGCATCTGTAGGCAACTAGCAAACAAACAGAAGTTTAGAGCAATTAGATATTGAACTTAGACTGGCAAGCACCTCGAGACAATTATCTGTCCGTCTGAAAAGGCTTTCAGAAATGAGAGTTCGTAATACTGTATTCACATCCATCTGATCGTACTTGCATTTTTAAAACAAATGGAAAGTAGGTAAAGAAACAGAGCATTTGCGAGGCCAACATGGTCTGCTTGGAACACATTCTGAGTAATTGTTTATGCTGACTTTCTTTAGTTTTTACATTTTTATACTTTCTACCTGATGATGACTTCTAATAATGACTTGAGTCAGGGAAGGCTCATTTCCAGAAATTACTTTAATGCATGTTTTTCAAACCTCCTGTGAAGAAGAAAAATAAACAAACTAGTGATTCATAGGACCCCATTGTCTCAGCTTCTCTCTCTTTTTGAAGGCACTTTAACTTCATCATCAAATTCTCTTACTTAGAGGTAAATACAGTTGGTAGGACTTGCATTCCTTTTATTGATTCCAGTTACCTAATAAGCCTAAATGGATTTTTTTATAAAAAAATTTGAAAATATTCTCAGGTGTTTAGTTGAACATCTTCACATTCAGGCAAAAAGCAAACAGGAAGCGAGAAAAGGAGCAATGGAGCAAAAGGCAGCCTGGGTGGCGTGGAGCATGTTCTTGCGTTGGCTGTGGAGTGGCATACTTCAGCGGAGACGGCTTGGTGGGGCATCAGGGAGTAGAAGAAAGCAACACGCCCCAAAGGTGGAGCTCGGCATGGTGAATAAGGACGGAAGAGCCACGCTGCCTCAGAACTGAGGAACCACACCATTCTCCCATCACAGAGTTGTGAGGCCAGTGTTAAGTTGGACTTGCGGCACACAGAGCAGCAGCCACACAGACCTTCCGCACCCTTTTGCATTATACTGTATCTTGTCAAGTGTCCAGTTGCAGATTGTGCATTGGGCATCCCAGGAAATGTTGGGAACCCCTTGCGCAGTTCCTCTTCCACTTGGGATAGCTCTGCTGGCACCAAGTCTACATTTCAGCCCTTAAAACATTATCCTGTGCCTCCTATTTCAGCACGTAGACCTTCCTCCTTAAGTTCATTACTTTACGGCTGGTAGTTCCACTGGGGTGGAGAGGACTTGGATAATCTAGGGTTCTGTTAAACCATCTTTGCCTCACAATATGGTAAAGAAAATCGAAGTCACGGCCTGAAGGCGTCTGTGGGGTAGATTTTGCACCTACAGGTCTTGGGTTCAGCGTCCACTTCTGACATTCGTTCAACAGACAGACTTGCAGCTATTAACTAGGCAGGAAATGAGCGACAGCAGTAAGTTGGTGGAAGTGAGTTACAGGTGGCAGCGCTGAGATCATATTGTCCCTGCCACAGCAAGATCCGTTTCCATTAATGTTTGTGCAAAACACTTCTACCAAGAATCAGCCAGTCTCTGTAGAAACAGATGGAGAGTGTGCAAATAACTGCTTTTCTGCCTTAAAACAAAGTCCAGCCTATAAGGTGCAAGTCAGGTGGTCCACACCTTTGTTGTGAGTTTTGCAAAGGAAATCCTGGGCATCAGCTTCTCTTATGGAGAGAAAAGGGCACCAGAACTTCTTAGGAGATGCCAATGTGTGTGGAGTCCCACACCTAAAATTCTTGACAATAGGCAACAACCATCTTACATTGGTTCCTGAGGGATGGATCTGACCACTTAGTGCATGTTCACAAGCCTTTCCCCCCCCCTCCTTTTTACCCTCTCAAGGACAGACCTTGCCAAAGTGGATCTAGAGAGCCAGCTCAGATGCAGAGATGGCTTTATTCCACTCCCTTTTATTTCTTGAAATCCCAAGTTTTTTGAGTTGGTTAAAACATAGTAGCCCAAATCCTGTTGCTTAGCCTAGTACGTAGGTTGCACTAGAGTAGGCCCATTGGATCAATGAGGGCTTGGTGCGTCCACTCCGCTATCAGCTCACTTGATTCAGTGGGCCTATTCGGGTGCAGTGGGCTCTGCTCTGCAACAAGGGTCGGGCCAGTTTCGCCTGGCATCCAGTCAGTCCCCCAGGGCCGGTGCCAGGCCCCCAGAACCATCGGGGGGGGCTCCTTCCTCCCGCTCGGCCCACCGAGACAGCGGGTGGCCGGATCCAGCGGGCGGAGGGGGAAACGTTTGAAGGGGGGGGCACAACAGGATTCTTTCCCTCCGTTCTGATTTCCGTGCCCGGCAATTGCGGGGGGTCCAGCGTGGCAATTGCGGGGGGGGCATTCGAAGCCCCCACCCCAGTGAGCAGGGCGCCTCCTCGGCCCACGAAAGAGCGGAGCTTCTCCAGCTTTTCCCCCACCGCCGGGAGCCCTTGGCGAAGCCCCCTCCCTTTGGCCCCTCTTTCCCCAAAAGGCTGTTTCGAGGACTTTGGCCAAGTTACTTTTCTGGGGACGGGAACTCCAGGAGGGAGGGAGGGGCTCCCCCTCCCCCTCCCCCTCCCCGAGGGGGCCTCTGGGAGTTGTAGTCTGCCGGGGGAACTCGGCCCCCGCGGCCGGAGGACTGGCCGGCCGGCTCGGGCGGAGCGAAGGGGGGC